AAGAAAAAAAAAAGAGAAGGAAGGAAGGAAGGAAGGAAGGAGAAAAAAAAAACCACAAGTCTCTAATGTCACGGTACTGGAGGCCAGTAGTCTGAAATGGGATCTCACTGGGCTAAAAATCAAGGGATCACAGGGCTATGTTCCCTTGGGAGGCTCTAGGAGGAGAATCCATTTCCCAGCCCTTCCAGCTTCTAGAGAGCATCTGCATTCCTTATCTCTCAGCCCTTTCTGATTTCAAAGTCTGCAATGGCTGGCCGAGTCTTTCTTGTGCTGATTCACTCACATCTACTCCTCTGCCCCCTATCTCCACAGTTAGAGAACACTTGTGATTACATTTATTTATTCTATGAGAGAGACAGAGAGACAAAAAGACAAGCACCTCCAGTGGGTCCACATGCCATGATCCCCCCATCCCCGGTCCAGCTGGTTCAGATCACGAGCCTTACCGCTGCACCACAACTAGGCAGCATCCTCTCCTTTCAGATGAGAAGCTGAGGCCTGGAGAAACCGAGTAATTTGCCCAGAGCCACCCAGCTAGGGAGAGGATTCACAGTCTGATTGGTTTATCTCCAGTGCCAGGTCGAGTCACTCTTCAACTATAGTAAACGGAATGTACGTGCCCTTGTGTGGGGTATACAGTCTAGATCAGGACAATAAATATGCACATCCATGGAAAAAGGACAAGAGAGGCTTGCAAAGGGAGGGACAATGTAGAAAATGCACTTGACGAATTTAGCCCTGGCTCTGACATTAACCAGCTGTTGGCCATTGCCAAAGCCATCTCTCTGGATTTAGTTTCCTCCTCTGTAAAAGCAGGCGACATACAATCACTCAAAGACCACGTAGGTTCTAAGAGTCGGTGGTCTAATGTAGTGGTTCTCAAGATGCGGTCCCTGGACCAGCAGCATCAATGTCACATGATATTGTTAGAAATGCAAATATGAGGGACCAGCAGTTAGCGTAATGGCTATGTCGCTGGACTCCCATGTAGTCAACCACAGTTCGAGTCCTGGACCTGGTAGCTTACACTCACGCCGGGTGTGTGTGTGTGCGTGACCAAGATCCCGAGAGGAGAATGGAGGAGAAGGGAATGCAGCGTGGCCATCCCCCTTGGGGGGTGATTTTCTCGCTTTCTGTCTCTCTGTCTCTCTCAGTCTTTCTGGCAAGTGCACGCGCCCTACAGCAAAAACCTCAAAAAAATGCAAATATGAATGCCCACCAGAAATCTACAAATTAAAAACTCTAAGGATGGGGCTCCCAAGTCCTCCAGGTGGTTCCGATGCATGCTGATGTTTGAGAACCACTGGCTTAATGTGGTCTAAACTATATGGGTAAAAACAAAGAGGCGATTTTCAAACTACTTGTTCAAACTGCTAGGGGCTTCCCTTTTGGTGGAACCACTGAGAATGCTGCAATGACTAGTGCTTGATCCATACCCTACAGGGAACCCAGAGAGATCGGGTTGTCTTTGGCTGGCCACAAGGACTTCATGCCCTTCTCTTACTGTCAAAAGATCCTTTACTGGAAAAGCCAATGAATGTAATGCATAGGAAACGCATGTATCCTATCCTGGGATGCAGGCACAACCCAGAACCAGGCATGGGACAGAAAGAGCATACTTCTGCTGGCCTTACTACCTGCTCCGCATCCCAGAATTTCACTGCTTTTGTGGACAGAATAAGAACTCCAAAAGGCAGGATGCACTTAGGAATTTCCCATTGCAGGTGAAGTACTTAGCGAAAAGCAGGTCCCAAACTTACAACTGAAGCAGCTGCTGAGTGTCACATCTCTTCTCCTGCATTATTAGAGGCACAAAATTGCAGCCTCAGGCTGAGAATATGTGATCCATCTCCCAGTTCAAGAAAAATAGAGAAAAGCATTTCTTTTTTAGTCGGTTGAAAAACGTTCTATGTCTGATGGGATATATTAATAGTATCTGATGCTGGCATAGTTTGAAAATCTATTAATACCAAAGATTTCCCCCCTGCTTCTCTTTCCTTCTCATGTTTCTGTTTTGTTTGTTTGTTTTTAAGTAGTGGTTTTGTGTGGACAATACTGAAAGAAAAGGAAATCTTCAATTGTCCAAGAGATTTTCTCCTTAGAGAGAACTGTCCAATGGTTTGACCTTGGAGCCATCACCCAATCCTTCCTTTATTGTAAGTTCCCTTAGTTCCTTACAAAACGTCTGTAAGGAGTTGAATGAAATTCTCTCAACTGTAAGCAAATGGTCTCATCCTCTGGATTTCCAGAATATTACTAGAACTAGCTCTGGTTCAAGCCAGTCCCTCCTGCTACCTGGGACTTCCAGCACAACTCCATGACAAAGCTCCGTGCATGTGCACCCGTCCCTGAGGAAGGGCTGCTGCTGGGTTGGTTCAAAAAGCTCTCTCTGGTGACACGACTGTCTCTTGCCATGGAGCCTGATGGCTGCTTACGTCATCCTCAAAGTTCACACGCCCTGGATCCAAAGTCAGGGCTGTCACTTGTGGGCTGTACGAACGTGGCTGTGCTTCCTACCCTCCCCGAGGCTCAATTTGCTATTCGATAAGAGGTAAACGGAAACACGTAGTCGCCTCCCGGTACTGTTGGGAGAATACCATGAGATAAAGCGCTGCCTGGCTCCCTGGAAGTATTCAATAAATGATGGCCATTCTTGCTCCAGTGTTTTCTGTCTTAATCCCCAGTGGAAATGTTTTTTCTACTGACAAATTATTATTACTATGGATTTTCTTTTGAGACAGAGTTTTGTGCCCTTTCCTTGTGCAAGACAGAACTGCCAAACCTGTTTGGACTCTCATTCCTTGAGGTCTAAATGGGAGCTGCTCAGCAGATCTGGCCGCAATTCACTGCGCTACCTTCATTGGACGCACTACCTTGTTCATGTTTTCATGGAGAAAGGGACTCATTGCACTTTCCCTTTCATTTTCTCCATGTCTGAGAAGAAAAAAGAGAAACACTTTGCTGTTCTGTTTCTTTGGATTAATTTAAAATAAGTCAATGTTGTTAATAAATGATCGATACGAATCATTCGGATCATTGTAGGCCTATCACCTTCAAATACTTTTTACAATCTATAGTACTGGAAAATGAATCTAGAGTGGATGCCGAAAGGTGCAGGGAGAAGTGAACTAGGATGGCATTTCTAAAATGTACCCTTTAGTCCATTAAAAGTTCTCAAAAGTCTGGGGACCAACAGTTGACGTAATGGCTATGTCACTGGACTCTCATGTAGTCGAACACGGTTCGAGTCCCAGACCTGGTGGCTTAAACTCACGCTGGGTACTTGTGTGAGCGTGCCCAAGATCCCGAGAGGAAAATGAAGGAGACGGGATTACAACATGGCCATGCTCTCTGGGGAGTGACTTTTAGCTTTCTGTCTCTCTCTGTCTTTCTGGCGAGCGCATACAAAAAAAAAAAAAAATACAAAAAAAATTAGTTCTCAAAAGTCTGAGGGCCAGCAGGTGGCATGGTGGTTAAGGTGCTGGATCCCACATGACAGAATACAAGGTTCAAAAACTAGACCTGGAGGCTTGAAAGACACACTGGGTGCATGTACATGCATGCCCAAAATCCTAAGAGGAGAATGAAGGAGAAGGGATCGTGGTGTGGTCATCCCCCTGGGGCCAATCACTTGGGGGAAGAAGGTGGTTTCTCACTTTCCCTCTTTCTCTCTCTCCAGTGAGTGCATGTGCCCTAAGGCAAAAATAAATTTTAAAAAAGTTCTTAAAAGTCTGATATAAAAAATTGTTTTCTTTTTTATTTGGGGGGAGGAGGCACGTGCTCTCACTGGAAAGACAGAGAGACAGAAAGCAAGAAATCACTCCCCTGGGGAGATGGCCACGCTGCAATCCCTCCTCCTCCACTCTCCTCTCGGGATCTTGGGCATGTACACACACGTGCCCAGTGTGAGTTTAAGCCACCAGGTCTGAGACTCGAACCACGGTTGACTACATGGGACTTCAGCAACATAGCCATTACACTAACTATTGGTCCCAAAACCTTGTTCTTTTCTATAACACCTGCTAATAGCCATGAACTTACAACTGATGGAAACCATTTTGGGAAATCACACATCCCCAGAGACTCATTTCCTTTCTGTAATCTGTGCCTACCTGCACCCCTGGGGAAGAATCATAGGTCAGTTAACTAGGATCTTTCTCCAGAAATTTTAGCTAAGGCTGTTCTACATGTACTCATCAGCTGGGAACAGCACCTCAAAGTATGTTTTATAAATGTGAACAGCAGATCAAGGTCCAATTTATTTTAGCTCTCAAACCCTGACTCAACTCTGCCTAGGGGAAACAAGGGTCGGAGACAGGTCAGAGATCGGGGCCACATCTGTGCTAAGGGACTGCACTGGCTGGGATGTCTGTTAGCAACTGGCCCAGAATCTGGAGCTGTGCGTACCAGTCCATGGTCATATTTTATGCTGAAAAATATGCATCAGGCTTTTGAATCCACCAGTAGCATGTATTCTTTATGCTATTTTTCCTTTATACCCACAGTCGCTAAATATTTATGATTCCACACCTCATCAACCAAAAGTTTTGATCTTGCAATCCTGTGACAGGTATATTTATATATAAATTATATACACATACTACTGTCAATCTGTATATTAAAAATGAATAAAGCTTCATTTCTTGTTTTTTAGATAGCAAGATGAAATATGTTGCTTTCTTCCTACACCTTCCTGGATCATTTTGGACCCCTTGATGGTGCTTTCCAAGGACCCCAGAGAAGCGATGGCTGGGGACTACTTTCTGAATAACCTCCTCCCAGTAGTTTCCTGGCAGAGGTGAACAGACTGGGTGGTACTTCTGGTTTTGCCAGCATGCAATGGTCTACTGCGTTGATCTTTGGCCCCTTTTCACAATCCATGAGGGCACAAAGACACTGTCGATGGGCCAGGCAGGAAGTAGTCTTAGTAGGAGAACCATGGCAGTGTCTGAGCAACCCTTATCTTACTGGAAATCCTGCCTCTGTCCCTAAAGTCTTAGTGCTTCACAATGCTCTCTCCTCTCCCCTGAATCCTCCCCTTCTCCTTTCATGGAGGTTAAGTGGTGAAGACAACGGGTTCTGAGAGCTGGCTGCAGCTCCACACTGAGGATGCCCAAGCAGCTACAACTGCCCACCACTCTCCCCTTGTGCCCCTGGAACCCCACACATCACAGAACTTCCAAACCCCCCTCCCAAACGTCACAGCACAACAAAAGGGCACTTCTGCAGTTTGGAGGCTGGTGACCAAGAGGGCCAGGTGTTAGCACAACGGCTTCTTGGAAACAAGGCTATTTCACTCCTGGGAAGTAGATGGCCTGGCCCTCTTCTTCATGGGGGAAAGGTGAAGAGGAGTAGGAGTGAAAACTTAACTTCTAACCAGGTACAATGCATTAAAGCAAATTTAAAATTAAAGGAGCCAGTCCTGGAAAATTCCCCCAAATAAAACAAAAGGCCTTAAAAATAGTTTTAACTAGGGCCATCTCCTTGGCCTGGTGGTTAAGGTAACCGGATACCACAGGGCCAACCTCATAGTTCAAGTCCCAGACCTGGCAGCTGACGATCCATGCCAAGCACAGGTGCACACATGCCCAAAATCCCAAAAGGAAGGAGAGATGGAGAAGGGATTACATGTGACCATTCCCAAGAGGGGTGCTTTCTCCTCTCCCTCTCCCTCTGTTTCACTATCTCTGGTGAGGACATGCCCTCTAGTGAAAAAAATAATAACATAATAACCTTAATGTTGCTTGGGTCAGCTTAACCTGGGTTCTTTCTGATAAATGCTTAAAGACAGCTGACTAACAAGATCATGTGACTAGGGACTTTTGAACAAGGTACCTACAAGAGGTAATTTTGTCATTGCAGACAAATCAAAGAATTTCTTGCTGCCTCTGTATTTTTCCGATTACTTGACTCTGACGTTTTGCCACTGGAGCACTAGACCTCTTCTGGTCTGATGTTCGCTATGTATGAATTGCTTCTTACTCAAACACACTGTCGAACACTTTTTGTGCCTAGATTTTTCTTTTGGTGAGTGAAATTCCACTGCGACTTCTCCAAAGTGGACCACAGGCACACAGTGTAACTGGTGAGAATGGCATCGTCCGAGTGGAAGGAAACTTCTCTTTCCAAAGAGGTGGAATAGTCATGATGTTATCTGGAGATTCCTTTCTGAGGTTTTGCCCTTGCCTCTGATGGGAGCCACCTGAATACCTCTCACACGTAGATGAGCCTGAGGGGTACTTCTGTACCTCCCCCAGCAAAGGTTGCAAAGAGTTTGACTGCAACCTACATATCTTCCCTAGCTACCCTCTTTCAAATGAGTCCAAAGTCTTAGGTCGCTTCTTTAAACTTCTTAGATTGATCTGAGGATTAATACACTGAAGACCCAGATGTCAAAATCAAAATCTCCTGTAAGTAGTTCAGCAAAGGATTTCCTTGGAATCAGAGGGCAATGTCCCTAGACAGGAGGCCTTGGTTTAGGGAGTAGGCCCAGGGAAGGTGGGTAGATGCAGGGAAGGGGTGTGGGTAGGGCATCACAGAGGTACCCCAAGCACTCAGAGTGGCTTGAGCCCCAACTTAGAAAGGCAAAACACCCAGAGGGGGCAAGGGGCCAGGACATCAGCCTGTGATGACCCCACCAATGTGTGTGTGGATGGTCCTGACAGTGCACACTGCAGTTTACAAGCTGAAGGAGAAGAGGGACCAATGATGGCAATGAGGGAGACTCCCCCTCCTGCTCCGCATATCTGCACCTCACTGGAAAATGAAAAATGCCTAGGTGAGGGGAAGGACTGGAGAGAAAGCATGTCAGTGAGTGTGATGCAGGCTGTGCAATCGAGAGCACGTGACGTCAGCTGGATTCACAGGAAGCCGACCGTGCCTCAGAATAGGCCTTTCTTCCCAGAGGCTCCCAAAGAGCCACAGAGGGCCAGAGTCCCCCACTCCAGTGTGACTCCTCACTCCTAAGCTTGCCTGTACTATTCTTGCCATTCTAAACACACTTTCCTTGACTCCCCTTGGAAGGATATCTGGGAATATCAAAGTCACCTCTGGGCTGGGACTGAGGGCCAGCTCCTTCATTACTACATGGTACAGGGCTTTCCTTCTGACAAGCCTCTAGCCCAGGCACAGAGAAGCTAGCTGCACCTGCTCTCAAAAATACATTCTGCCTAGGGACCAGCAGTTGGCATAATGGCTATGTCGCTGGACTCCCATGTAGTCAACCGTGGTTCGAGTCCCAGACCCAGTGACTTAAACTCACGCTGGGCGTGTGTGCGTGCGTGCCCAAGATCCCAAGAGGAGAATGGAGGAGAAGGGATTGCAGCGTGGTCATCCCCCCTGGGGGGTGATTTCTCGCTTTCTATCTCCGTTCTCTCTCTTTCTGGCAAGTGCATGCACCCTATAGCAAAAACCTCTCAAAAAAAAAAAAAAATCTGCCTAAAGGAGAAACAAGTGTTTGAAAAGCATCTATTTGAATTTCATCCCAAATAGATTGCAATCTTCACTGAGCTCTCTCTTCAGGTGTTTCCAAGCAGCTTCTTTATTCAAAGGTAAAGAATGGAAAGGTGGGAACTGCAATTTTGTAATGTGCCCATTCTTCCTGCTTGCTCAAGGGGACCCAGCATTATGAAATGGACTGGCACCTCCTCCAGACGTCGACCAAGGAGAAAGCCAGCACGGTGAGTCGAAGGCTGCTACTGGTGGACCCTACAGCTGCTGCCTCTGAAGCGGCTGATGAGTCACAGCTGGTTTTCCTGGTAGGGCTTTGAGCCAACCCCACAGGAAATTGGTCAACTCCCCTGACTGACCCCTTCCCCACTCCAACCCTCACCTCCCCCCCCCTTTTTTTTTTTAATAATACTGGTTTCTTATTTAAAGACTTGATTTTATTTATTATTGTTTTAATTTGACCAGAGACAGAGAGAGGGGAAAGTGAGACTGCAAGCTGCCAGGTCCTAGACTCGAACCGTGGTCGGCCATGTGGGAGCCTAGCATCTCAACCACCATGCCACCTGCCAGTCCCTCTCACCCCTTTTTTTTAATAATAGGCACTCATCCAGATGATGGAGGGTATCTGAAAACCCCTCTAGGAGAGGTCAGGCTTCCTGGGGACCTCACATCACTGGAACCCTGAAGATCAGCCTATGGACGGACTCATGACCTGGAAAATGGTCGTCACTCCTGTAAGGAGGTCCCCCTGCCTATGTCTCTTCCTGTTAGTCAGCTGCATCAGGGTTTAGACTCACTTGGCAGTGTAGACCCGCTCAAAGGCAAGCGTTCCTGTCCTCTGGAAGCTCCGTCCATTCTGGGTCCTGCTTTCATGCTCCACCTTGTGGGCAAAGAATCCTGTCAGAGAAAAAAGTGAGGATTTGGTTTATAAAGTAGGTGGTCAGGAGACTATTTCATTGTTTTAATAGAATATTAAATACTTCCATCACTTGACTTTCCAGAAGCCATAAATGGCCTCCAAAAAATGACATTGAGGGTCAGGTGGAGGTGCAAGGGTAACACAACTGGGCACATGTGGGAAGGAATCTGGATTTGCATCCTGAACTCTCCCTGAGCAGGCTGGGTACACGTGCCTATGACCTGGGCCGGCTGAGAAGGAGGGTGGACCTCCATGTGAATTCCCTGTGCCGCTCTTTCACAATAAATAAGTAAATAAATAAACAAACAAACAAAAACAAACATCATTTAGGCAAAATATACCTAGCAGCTGCTCTCTATTCATCACTGTATTTGGAGTTGGGGATGCGATAGGGAGCAAGGTGTCACCCCAGATGCCAACGATTTTATACAGTAAAGAAACAGATGAGCAAGTAAAGCAGAAATTGTACCACAGGGTGATTCATGCCCAGATGAAATCAAGTGAGTACATGGCGCTATCAAGGGCCAAAGGAGGCAGCTAAATTCACTGTTTGGCTCACAGAAGGATTTCTAGAAGAAATGACACCTCAGATAAAAATCTGAAGAACAGCTAGGAATTAGCCAACAGATGAAGGGAGCAGGGATCATAGGGGAGCTAACTCTACTCCAATGGAATGGGATATACAAAGGCCCAGGGGCAAGAACTGTCTGCACGTCAGCACGTCTAGCTTAGCATGCGGCAGTGGAGAATGCTAGGGAATGGGACTCCGTAGAACTACAGATAAGGCCAACGAGGAAGGTGATGAACTGTATTTTCATGTCATGTGTCTATCATCACTTGCCACGTGCATCAGAGCACAAAGCAGACAACCAGCCTTGGCTCAAGGAATTTATGTTCTGGCAAGAACAGTAGAGGATGAAACAGACCATACATAACAAAAGAAGCGCACATATTAGAATTGTACAATGTGGTGAGCTATGGGGGTAAAAAAGAGCAAGTCAAATATGGTAAGGACCATTTGAAGGGCTTAATAGGGTGGACAGAGTGAGCCTCAAGGACAAGGCAGTAAGGGCTTGAAGATGATCACTGTGGAGTGCTCACTGTGTTTAGCCGTGTGCTTGTGACCTTGATGACAGCCATGTGAAGAAATTCAGAATTGAGTTCCCCTTGAGAGCAACAAGGAGTTACTGGTAGGTTTAGGCAGAGGAAAGGCATAATCATATGGCTACTCTGTGTTTAGTGTGGCAAGGGCTCAGAGATCAGATCCAGGATTGGGGGCAAGATAGGAGTTGAGTAAGGTGGTGGCCATAAAGATGTAACAGGTGCCACAGAGATAGAACCTGGGGTGCTGAGGGAATAAAGGTCTCTCCCTCTCCCTTCTTATTTTACTCCTTTACTCTGTTTCAAGCGTGAAAAAAGGAAAACAGATTGTCAAGAATCTACCTACAGGGGTTCCTATTCATCAACTTCATATTAGCTTCCTCAAAAAGACATGAAAAGGATGGCTTATTAATTGCATATATTAATAAAGGCCTTTCATCTTTTTCTTTTTGGCAAAAGTATTCCTTCTGTAGTGCCATGCCCATTTTGAGCATGTCCACAGGCCTAACTTGTACGAAGGAAAGATCTATGACATTCCGGACACTTGACATCTATTCCCTATTGAGCCTTACACCAAGCCTGTGAAGTAGGTAGCACTGCCCCATATGTCCCCATCCTATAGATAAGGAAACTATGGCTCAGTAAGATGGAGTACGTTTCTCAGTCACCCTACTACTGGGGAATGGTGAAGCTGGAGATTCAAATCCAACTGGGCATATGAGGATAGACTTCTCTTATGCTGTCTCATAGAAACTCCCTGCAGAAGTCTATCAGCCAGTGAGTCTCTGGAAAAGTCATGACAAATTTTTGTTTATTTCTGTGCACAAGTACATCATGACTTTTCTGATGACCCAATACACAGGACTTAATACGTCTGTCCTTTCTGAATGTCTCAGCTTACCACAAAGGATGATGGAACATTCTGATCATTTTCTTTCCAGAACCCAAGATGGTGCCTCTTGCCTCTGTACATGTAAACAAGACTAGTATTCAGAAAGCCAGAGATTGGGACCAGCAGTTAGTGTTATTTCCACGACCAGCAGTACAACTGGGCTGTACTTCTCAGCACCCACCTCTCCTCTTCCACTCTGCTCAGGAAAACAAACCCCTTCCTCTTTCCAAGCAATTGACCGGTGATCTTAACCCCATTCCTGCCACCCTCTTTAGGTCTTTGATTCATCACCACTTCTGGAACCTTCCTCTCTTCTTTTCTCCTTCTCTTTACCCTAGAAACACTCACAGATCTTGCTTACCCTTCAAATAAAAGGAAAACAAGCCTGCCTCCTCCCAATATTCCACTAGGGTCTACCTCTCCTTTCTTCTAAGCTGAACTTGAAAGAGTCGCCTACATTTGCCTCCTACGCACCACCCACTTACTACCCAATCCCTGGTAGTCCTCCAGCACCTTACAGAAACCATATGAACACACTTACCTTGACTAACTGCTAACTTTAAACCGAAACCAGTGAGAGAGAGTAAGAGAGACAGAGACATACAAAGGCAGATGTTGTCTTGTGCCATACCTCAAACAACCACACATGAAAGCTATTAATAACTCAGTTCAAAAAAAAAAAAAAAAACTCTAAACTCTGTTCCACAGTTAAGGAAACTGAGGGTCAGAGAGACATTAAATACCTGTCTCAAGAGCATATAAAAAGATATTGAAATTTTAGTTAACCTCAAAGTTAATGAGCAGCAGGTGATACAACTACTCAAAAAAAAAAATCAAAAAAACAAAACACATGCAGACTGCTTTAATAGAATTGGCATGTGGATCTCAGAAACAGTTTCCCTGTACAATAGACATGTATCTGCGTTTTATAAAGAACACAGGAAGAGAAGAGGTGACCCAAAGGCAATGTACTATGGAAACCAACTCACATGAGAAACAAAATTTTGAACAATGGATGTTATAGCTGATGTTGTGAACATGGAAGCAGCAGGAACAGTTCCCGCTTTCCAGAGAATAGTAGCAGGACTATTGTACAATGGACATGTGGCAGGCACAGTTGGTGGTGTACTGAACTGCGATGCTGGAAGCCACATGGCTGACCAGGGGTTCAGATCCCTGGTGTGGTCTGAAAACAAGCAGGACGTGTCCATGCATGCCCAGGATCCTGAGGAGCTGGGGGGCTGGAGGAAGGGGACTGTGGCATGATGAAACCCTGTCCAGGGCTCTTTTTCTCTCTCTACCCCCCTATCTCATGCACACACTGCTCTCTGCTATGAATAAAATAAACAATTTTTTTTTAAAAAAAGATAAGGAGCATCAGATTTCAGCTCAACATAAGAAAGAACCTCCTAGTTGTGAGTGAATAAATTTGATGCAATAGTCCATGGTGCAAATGTCTCTCTAGAGTTAGATGCTCACGTCTGAATCTCAGTTTCACTACTATGGCCACGCTGGGACTTTCAATGGTCTAACTTCTCCACCTCTCACTGTTCTTACCTATAAAGTGAGAAAAATAATAAAAAAAAAATACGTATTTCAGAGAGTGCTAGCATTAAATGAAGTAATTCCATGTATAGCTGGCAAAGCATGGTGCTTGACTCAAAGCAAGCTTCCAATACATCTAACAATGGGAAGGGCAAGCTCAGGGGGTTGTTAGCTCCCCATCACTGGGGTGTTCACGTAGGAGTAGTTCAGAGTGGTATAAAGAAGATTCCTGCATTAGGAAGACTTCATGAGTCTCTAATTCTTTTTTCAGAGCCCATCAAATGTCAGGTTGCATTGCTAAGTCTTTTAATCTGGTGCCCGTGAGGTTCCTTGTGGGTGCGTGTGTTGGGGTGGGAACAGCAGGGATGGCAGCTTGCTTTTCTCCCTTAGCACAATGCACACAAACCCTGATGACTACAGAACCATCATGCCTTCCTTCTCGGCTTCACAGTAAGAAAAAACTTAGAGGATGCCACCCCTTCTGGAGGAGAGAAGATGATGCTAACTCAGCCTGAGGACACCCTTCCTCTACCGTCAGTATGATGCCTGGCTCAGTGCCCCCAAGTCCCTCCCCTCGGCTCACCTCCCAATCTCGTTAGTTTGATTTCCTGTGAAAATCACTTTCTCCAAATATGTGTTCCCCACATTTGTTCATGTCAAAGCTGCTGGCACCTCAGCCAGAGAAGCTGGAGGCTCTCTGCATGCTATTCATAGGCAGGGATCTAGCTGCACTCCCCGGGACGGCAGGCTTTGATCGTTCTAGTCTAGGTTTCTGGGAACGATGTATTCTAAGCTTGCTTCTTGTTTCCAAATCTGCATTCTTCTGGATCAAGTTGGAAGAGCTCTCAAGTTCAAAGATCTTGATGACTAAAGAATGTTTGAAAAGACAGAAGAGGAAGTTGAACCAGGTGGGCCGGGCTCTGCCCATCCTCAGAAAATCAGACTTGGCAGAGTTCACAGTGCAGCACTGTCATGGATGCATGTGGAACTGTCCCTCTTTGTTTTAGGACACAGACAAAGTGTTCAATGCCTGATAACAAAATGGAAATATATTTTTTAATCTAACAAGAGGGGTACAAAATGGCATTTTAGGGTGGGTGTAGGAAAACACAGTTTTTGCATATGTTTTTGAACTCTCTAGGTAGGTCTATGGTTGCAACACTGAGATTAATTAGAATTTCAAATAGGCATGGACATGTATCAGGAAGAATTCATAGTTAAAAAGAAGTAGAGGTGTTATCTTCCAACCTATTTGAATTTTCCTTGTTGCCACCACACAGGCACATTTAAGTTACAAAAAGTCTTCAACATTAATCTAAGCATTACCTAGGGAATTCGGTCTTCTCCCTAAGAGGAAAGCATGGCTTATCCTAAGCCCCCAGAAGTAACCAAGGGGCCCTTCTGTGACCTCAAACAGGCAATGGAAATTCACTTTCCCAAGCACAATGGGACAGCTCTGTACGAAGCCACTGTGACCACACATGGCACTAGCTGGCTTACACAGGTTGGAGAAAAACAGAAAGCCAAGCCCAGGCCATGTCTACTGGCTTCACACCCCAGTCATCTGTCTGTTCAGCACGAAGAGTCTGCAGCTAAAACAGGTAGCTCCCTGCTGGTCAGTACTGGCACCTTCCCCAGCCGGAAAGCCTCCATCACACTTGTCAGTTCATGGAACTGTTAGTGAGGCTGCTGTGTCCTGTTGCTAGCTGTCTTAAATGGTCAGTGAAAAGTTAAGGCCTTCAGATTGTGGCTGTTAAGGCTCTGGCACTTAGCCACCCCTAATCCCACCTCCTTTCCACATTTGTACCACAGAAGAAGACGTAGTCCTATCTACCAAAAACAATTAGAATTCTTACCACCCACCTCAAGTCTGGTCAGGCTTTGCTCACAGTGGAAAAGCCCAGGGCCCACTGGACAGACTAGGGGCAGGTCCCTGGTGTATCTGAAAGAGGAGAGATGATGAGGCTGTTCTCACCAGAGAGAGTCCTGTAGCTGCCCCCTACTCAGCTCTGAGCTTAACGGGAACAGGTGAGAATGAGTTGAACTTTCCAGCTGCGTTCAGCCCCAACGACATAGGCAGGGCAGAGTCTCCTATCCACTGATGTTTGTCAGTTACACCGATGGGTAAAGACAGAAAAGCTGCAGGGGGCCCTACCCTGAGGTGAACAAGTACAGCTCACCCCCCACCCCTCTACCTCCCATGCAACTACCTGCACAGAGATTGGAAGGCTGGTTGCAGGCTGGCCTTTACTGTGGTAGAAGGCAGAAGCCATAGCTCTCTTCACCAGACCCCCATGTACACAGGTCACTGCCTGGCACAGAGCAGGGGCTCCGAGGTGTATTCAGGTTGAGTAAATGTATCCCTCGCGAACATATAGGGCCAAGGGAGCCCAGGCTGAAGTAGCAATGGTTCAAGGAAATGGCAGTGAAATAAGCCCTGTGTTCCCTCTCTGAGCTGCAACTCTGTTGTGCATGGTTTGGTATGAAATGTTTGGGTCAGAAAGCTGCAAAGTGTTGTTCTATGTAGCAAACACAATTGGAGCATGCAACGTGGAGCCTGTCTGGACTGGGAGGTCAAGGGGAAAGCCTCGTTCTGTACCCAGAAGGCTAAATAACCAGCGTCTGTCCTCACTCAAGATGGGGATGAATACCACAGTATCTTAAAGTGATTAACTACTGAATGTATCAAAGTTCAGTAATTACCATTAAGATAGCAACTTCTCTTCATAATGACAGTCCCCTTTTCATTATCTTAATACACTGTAAAACACAAAGCCACTGGAGATACACAGAAAAAATAGGCGGAGACAGTCCTAACTCGGAAATTTAAGAAGATAGTTCTACACAATTCTTTTTCAGATCTGAATAGGCTGCATAGTTTGTTAATTTATTAATTTGCATTAATAGAAACACAAACCTCAAACAGGAAAGCTTTTCCCATTTTTTCTCCTCTCTATAAGTATGTAATACATATGAAAAATGCTTCCAAAATTATACATTGCTAGAGAAAAAGTCAGTATTACCAAAAAAAGGTTTTTTTCAAAAGAAAAAAGAAAAGCAATACAGAGGTAAAGTAATAATGTTACTTGCCCAAATCATCACACCTCCCAAATTCTTTTTCTTAACCGACAGATGACAGGGAACTTCAGTTGCATTGCAGATAAGTTAGCAAAGCCCAATATTGAGTGAACAAGTATCCCATGTTCTCTTTCTGGGAGCCTCAAGCTACCCCTTCCCTGGACACATCCATTAATGGCTAAAATGCTAAAATGCTCACTATAGACACTTCAGTAGGGTTTTTGCCACGGCCTCCAAGTATCTGCTCTGGCTGATAAATGTGACTAGTCCTTGCCAAAGTGAAACCAGGAGGAAGAAAGCCCCCAGTTCACACAGAAACAAACATCTCTCTATCCGTTCAAATACAAAGAAACAGAGAGAAGACAAAAGTATGTTTGTAACACACACACACATACATGCACACACACCACACTAAAACCCTGACTTTCGAATAACCATCAGATGGAATCTGCCCTTCTGTTCCTCCCCACGTAAAGGGTTTCCCTTACCATTCTGGACCACGCTGATGAGGGTGACGATGGCCAGTAGGACAATATTGCCCACGGTTTCTTGATCCATGCTTGCTTGAGGCTCTCCAGAGAGAACTGCTCTGGTTCAGCCCTGCAGCCTGCACTGTACAGGAAAAGGAAGTGGGAGCCTGTGCTTTGTCTTTCATCATTAGCATTTCTGAAGTTCCCAAGCACAATTACACAGAACCTTCTTCTTCTTCTTTTTTAATTGGTCACCAAGGTGCCTGGGCTGTAGTTCAGCATGACCCGCCAGCAACAGCAGGGCTTAAGGGAGGAGCGGGCAGGGCTGGCACACTCGCTTATACTGCTTTGTCATGGGAGGCCTCTCTGAGAGTCTCAGAATGAATCTTGGACCCAAGATTCTGACCAGCATGAGCCCCATGCAGGAAATAGAATTCTGGAAGCCACCATCATCTCTGACCTTGGCAAAGAGAAAAAAGGGAAATAAAAAATGAAACGTTTAATAAAGTACCAAGAAGATCAATATCTTAACTACTGTCCTTTTTTTGAAGTCTTAGAAGAAAATATGAACACTTAACATGTGATAGGCTAGGCAAGAGTAGCAGCCACATAAGGCCTGGATGAATGAATGAATGTTGATGGGGTTGGAACAGCCAGAATGTCTCCATTTCCGTGGGGAAAAGTAAAATAAATAAATAAATAAATAAATAGGGATTAAAGAATTAAACCAAAGAATCAAAACCAAA